ATGGGTCGTCATTGCATAGTGCATTGGGCCACGGAACATGGGTACTGTTTGGTGCCAGCCATGTTGATGTCGAGGAGGTGTGCGTGAGCGATCCGGCTGGGAAGGAGGAATTGCATTCAAGTCGGAGCTATACTGGGAAATCAAATCCTGGGATGCCATGATGTAGACGGGAACCACGAAGTGATAGATCAAAATAAGCTCGATTAGCCAACTGAAAACTGCGGTAAGGTGAAAAGGTGATACGAAGGTGGCGTGCGATCAGAAAGGTGTGAAACATGGTAAACAGTCCCTGTGTGTGAAACGTGAGGTGAAATTCGAAGGTACCGTAAAATTCCAATACCATGAGCATGCAGCGATTCAAAGACCTTTTGATGGAAGAAGTGGCATCAATACCGAATGTCGGGAGAAGCATTGTTACTCCAAAAGAATCGGGCACGGCCACTAGGCTCACTGGATCGCTGTCGCAGAATAGTCGGCAGTTTGTCAGGTACTCCTCAAGGGTGAAGTGCTTACCAGCGAGATCTGGAGTGGGTGTATGCCGAGTTTCGAGAGCGAGGTTGGCCTTCACGGTGCTGATCTCGAGAATGGCCTTCACGATAGGAGGAACGGCGATCTCGACGATTGTAGGTCGAGTTGTCCCACGAAGCATTGTCATGCCAAGGTCGGCGAGCATGATCTCGTGAGGCAAGTTCGGTGGTCTCGTGGTGGCTGGTTGTGTCTCGAGAGTCGTCTGGAGGTGGGTCTGAAGGTGCTGGTGTGTCGGCAGTAGGGTCAGGTCGAGCTGGACGTGCATGATCAGCTGGCGGTTCAGTTGGTGCTACTGCAATGGGTGGGTTTGTCTCCGCTGCCTGGTGTGTGATCAAGCCCGGGAAAACCGAATGAGTAGAGGCAACATAGCATATGGATGCGGCGCTGGAGTTCATAGCCGTTGCATTGTCTTTGCCCTTGGCGATGCCCGATAGGTTGCACAAGCGTTGAATTTGGTCATTTCCTCCAGATAGGGCCCGTATGCATTTAGGTGAGCGACAGATGGCCAATAGGCCAGATGGGTTTTGTCCTTTCCCTATGCGGTAGAGCTGAGATGTACATATCTTGACAGCATAGCCCGGTAGGTTATCGATGTCAGGAATCTCCAAGGACATGCCGAAGAACCCGTAGCATGGGTATTGTGTCGGGTAGCCGGCTTCGTTTTTTGTCCAAGTTGCCGGGCGAATGCAGTCTTCCGCGAGGATCTTGGCAACTGTTTCCCAACTCGTTTTGTGGTAAATCAGGTAGGTGCCCATGTGCTCGCCACGATAGATCGGTTTTTTGGGCAATCCCGTTGGGACCGTGATGGTCAGCAGGTTCTCTGGCTCGATGTAAAACGCTTTGGTTTGCTTCGCCAGCTCGATGTCCAGTAAGCTGGATTGTGCAAAGGCCCTGGCAATGTTCTTGACGGTGGCCTGGCTTGCTTTGATATAAAAAGTTGGTTGTTGACGGTGCGATATGGTTGAGCCAACTGGTGGAACATCTCGTCAACGAACTGGTTGAAGAGCTGCAAGGTGGGCTGGGTCAATGATTGGCGTAGGGGTACTGTATGGTCGGGGTCGAGCTCAGTCAAGCAACGAACCCTGAGTGGATCATTGGCAGCCTCAACCATTTCACTAAGGTCGATGTCATTCGTGTCAAATTTTGAGATCGAAATTGCATCTGTCACCTCAGAGTTTTCGCTGTCGCCGTCAGGGACGCGGAAGGACACGGCTCCAAGTGGTGCTGTGGTGTGGGATGGTGGGTTGGTAGATGGTTCAGGTGGTGGTGGACCGGTGGGAGAGTTGGGTCGAGTAGTGCTGTGATGGTAGTTGTCGGTGTAGTGGCTATTGTTCCATTCGCCCCAGGTGTCATCAGCGTCAGGAGTGGGGATGTAGGCCGGATTGGATGGGCGTGCAGCTGGTCGTAGTACGACTTCGCGGCCTCTGGAGCGACGACGAGTCTCGGAACGTGGTCCTGGGTGAGATCGATGACGTCGAGGAACCACGGGAGAGCGGCGTCTTGGCGGTGATCTTCGTCTGTATGGAGAAGGAGTTCTGCGGTCCTTGTCATGTTTCGTGGATGACCGAAATCGAGGAAGGGGAGAACGAGGTCGTACAGCACGTCGGGGAGAATGTCGATGATGATGTGATTGTGCAGAGGGTCGACGGGAGCGTGATCTCGGAGTCCTGGATCGTGGTCTGTGCGTTGGCGATGGTGGAGCATGTAGGTGGTGAGGAGGAGAGATAGCTGAAACTGAGATGATGCGAGGGTCCGGAACGTCAGGTGCGGTGGGTCTGGCTTTAGGTGCAGGTGGAGGCATGGCAGTAGGTGGTGGTGCTGCTGTAGGTAATGGTGTAGGCGGTGTGGGGTTCGGTGTAGGTACATCGTGGTGGAGGAGTAGCTGACGTTGTTCTTGGGCACGTTGAGAATCCAGAATCAGTTGTTGTTGAGCCTGAATAAGACGGACCGATTCCGCAAGTTGTTGTGTAGTGGAGCCCAGCGCTGCAAGTTCAGGTGAAACGGATGGAGACGGTGCTGCCGTAGGTGCCGGTGGTGTAGCAGGGGAAGAGGCTTTCGGAGCTGACCGACGTGGTTTGTCCGTTTTCTTGTCGGAGCGAAGCTTTGGGGCAGCCTTAACTGCTGGTGGTGGAGGTTCATCTGGAGGGACCATAGATGCTTCAGTCGATAGTGGAGGTTGAAGGTGGTGAGATGGGTATGGAGAGCTCTGCAAAGGTGTCGGTGGTGTAGTCGATGTAGGCGATGAAGCCGGAGCAGAATGCCATGTGGGTGGAGCGATGGGTGCCGGAGGAGTAGTGGAAGTCGGTGGAGCGGTGTGCACCAGGGCGGTTTCAGGAGCCAAAGGTGTGGGCATTGTAGGCACGAGTTGTGGGCCTGGTACTGCATGAGGAGTCGAAGTCAATGGGGTAAATGGCAGCGATGTTGGGGCTGATGCGGACGGCACGAGCGAAGATGATGAAGACCATGTCGGATGCAATGGCGAGGGATGACCAAATAAATGTGCGTTCTGCGATGATTGCGGCCACGTCGAGGACGGATTCGTAGGCTGCGGTGGGGCAGGCCATGACGTCGGAGGAGTAGTCCACGGATACATCGCTCGAGTAGAACAAAACAGGAATGGAAAATCACATACAGGATTCAGTCCCTAAATGCCTAAACGTCGTGCGATTGTTCCCTGCACCGGGACCGTGGTCAAGTCTTGCCCCAATGGCATAAAACGGCATTCAAAGTCCAACGAATTAGATGCACAAAATGTTTCACCTCACCAGACAACCAAAAGAAAAAGACCACACCTGCAAAACGTGTGCCTGCCTGTTTCAAGTGACGTGACATGATGCAATGTCGCTGTAAAAGTGCTGCAAAAAGGAGGTTTCCGAAGTTCAGCACGGCTTCTTGCTGCAAAGAATGCAATTCACAAAGGATCTCAAGGGACAGCCGGAACGGCAGGACATCTCAAAAAAGGTGCAGAACAGTAAGGCCAGCTGTTGCACATTACTTAGATGAATTACTAAATTAAAATGTGTTAATTCGGCAGTCAGGACAGTCATCACTCACCCTAAAGAGGGTTGCCTCAAATGGCTCCATGGCACCATGTCGGAGCCACCATGGAAATCACACTAGACAAGAATGGATCATTATATGATCCGGCAGGAACTGAATCCTGAAACATACAGATTAGATATGAAAAAACGAAATTAACGATGCACCCTACGAATAATGGAAGTTCTCCTGAATGGTTTCCATGGCCAAGATCGTCATCAAAAATTTATAGATCGGCGACGTGGATGTGACAAAATAATCCAAATACATCGGCGACATGGTTTCGGCGAAATAATTCAAAAAATCAAAATACTGTCGGCGACATGGTTTCGGCGAAAAACTGAGGAAGGTTCTGATGCAGGCAATACAGATTGTCGCAACCGTGTAGATTCGAAACAACGCAGTGTAACAGCTTGATCAACAGTTGAAACCGATCAGCAAATTGGCAGGTACGTCGATCTGGCGTCCCAGATCGATATCACCATGGAAAGGCAGTGTCTTCGTTGGTGGATGACTGCCAGACCATGCATCCACCCCCTGCAAATGTGAAAAGATTAGAACAATAGAAGTTTTACATCTGTTCAGATGTTACACACACACACACGCACACACACACAGATATATATATATATACATATATATATCTCTATATACATCTTTACTGATCTATTGACGTAACTCTATTTATATGAACCCAAAGTTATCAATCAGCTGTGGAGACCCCCACCCTTAGAACACTCCAAGGCATTACAACTATATATATATATTTTTCTATAATGATCTATTGACATAACTATATTTTGATTGGCTATCATGTTGATTGCGAGTAGACAGAAAAAATAAATGTGACCGAACTCTTTGTTTGTGACGTTATGTGTGGGGAGCCAGGGTTAGTTGCAAGGAGCCCCACACTTAGACATGTGGATGTTCTAACTGATTTGGGTTCAGTATGTTCTAAGTGTGGGATTCCCTGATGTTCTAAGTGTGAGAGTCCAAAATTTTAGAAATCATTTGATGTTCTAAGTGACTCTCCGTCACTATAAAAAACTCTGTGTGTAGAGGCTTCTCTGTGTAAACGATTCTGTTTGTAAAAGCTGCTCTGTGATGGCTTCTCTGCGCACAAGCTTCTGCGTGTAAAAGGTACTTTGTGCAAAAGCTGTCTCTGTGTAAACGCTTCCCTGTGTAAAGGCTGTCTATCTATCTGTTTACCTTTCTATCTATCTACCTACCTATCATCTATCCATCTTTCTTTCTATCCGCCTACCTCTTCCCCATCCAACCATCATCTGCTCCCACCATCCCAAGTCGTCCCCTTCGTCTCATAAGAGTCGGAAGGCTTATCATGTTGGGTTATCTGGTCCTTTTATTCAAGTTACCGAACGCTTACTGCTGAACATGCGGCTGTCAAAGGGTCCCATAGTCGTTTTTGCCAGGCCGGTGTCTTGCTTAAAGTTCTTGCTGATCCAGCCAAGCGTGCTTCGAAGAAGGGCGCGCAGGAGAAGCTCTTGCAGAAGCTAAAAGCAAACAGCCAGACCCTGTTTTTTGTGAAGTGCCGTCCGCTTTGATTCTGCCTCCGCTTCTGTGAAATTAATGTAGGCCTTGTGGGGCGGAAATATCCGGCTCCTTCGATCAAAAAGCATATTTATTCTCAGGCCAGGTTTGGCTTGGTCGCCAACTGAACACAACGAGTGTATGGGTTTTCTCAAACTGGGGAACCCCAAAACGGAAGCTTTAGAATCCATCGTTCAGCGATGCTTTTTCGGGTGCGAATTTTCAGACACACCCGGGAGTCTCGTTTCTTTCGCCGTCATTTACTCAAGCCAATTGGATGACATGCTCAGGAAAGCCAATGCGAGCCTGTTTGAAACGGCAGAAAATGGACGAAGATGGGTTTCTTCAGCCGCAGTTCCTGAAACACGACTCCTCGCTATCGTTTTTGCGCGTGCTATCTTTGGCAAGTAATTCAAGTCCCACAAACTTGAATAAATTTTGACACTGCGTGAACTTTCTGCCCGAAAGTAGATTCGAAACGAACAATGCATCATATTTTCGTTTCCATGGCAACAGAGGAAATTGCAAAATTGTCTTCCTATTGTCAGCACAGGTAGATGGTTCCCCAAACAGTGTGTCAACACTGAGGGGTCCTTACGGTAGGCGTTAATTCAGGCCGCTGCTAGATCAGGATGCTCACTCTGGCTTCCGGCTTTTTTCCCCTGCAATTCGCACAAAAAATTGGCTCTTGCGACTTGTCCATGTGCATTTCGACCGCGCAGGCTCGCGCGCAGTCTTCCGCGCGAGTTTTGCTTGCTTTTGGTCTGCGGCATTTCACTTTTAAATTCTCGCGTAAAAGTGCTCTCGTGACTTCTCCATGTGCATGCCGACTGCGCAGGCTCGCACGAACTTTGGGCCGCGGTCTTGGCCTACGGCATTTTAAATTTTCGCCTTAAAGTGCATTTGTGACTTCTCCATGTGCATGTCGACTGCGAAGGCTTGCATGAACTGTGGGCCGCGGTCTTGGCCTGAGACATTTTACTACAGAATTCTCGCCGAAAACGGCTCTTGTGACATGTCCATGAGCATTTCAGTTGCGCAGGCTCGCGCGAACTGTGGGCTGCGGTCTTGGTCTGCAGCATTGTTCTTGAGAATTCTCGAATAGAATGTTTCCTGTGACATGTCCATGTGCATTTTGATAGCGCAGGCTCACACAAACTGTGGGCCGCGGTCTTTGTCTGCGGCATTGTACTTCAAAAATCTTGCATAATATGGTTCCCGTGACATGTCCATTTGCATTTCGAATGCGCAGGCCCACGCAAAACAGGTGTCGCAGTCTTGGTCTGCGGCATGTTACTCGTAATTCTCAGGTAAAATTGTTTCTGTGACTTGTCCCTGTGCATGTCGACTGCGCAGGCTCGCACAAAACGGTTGTCGCGGTCCTGGGGTGCGGCGTTCATGAGAAGCTCTTGTGAAGATCCCGCTGACATCTTCTAAGAGGTCCGTGCATGGTGTTGCAGAGGTCCTTATCAGAAGATCTTCCGGAGATCCTTGTGAAGTCCTCTTGAAGAGGTCCTTGCATGATCTTGTACAGGTCTTTGAGATCCTGGTGCGGTCCTCTCTGAGAGGTCCTTGCATGAAGATCTTGCAGATGCCATGTCTTAGAGGTGCTTGTATGAAAGCTCTTGTGGGAGGCTCTTGGGAGGTTCTTGTATCAAGATCTTGTAACATCTGCTCCAGCAGCAGCAGGCCCTTTTTGGACGATCGCGTGAGCTTCTCTTAGGGGTCCTGGCGTGAAGATCTTGGTCAAGGTCTTTTACAAGTCCTTCTGAGAAGTTCTTGTGGAGATGCTAGTGCGATGCTGTCAGAGGCCTTTGCAAGATCTTGTTGAGCTCTTGGAGAGGCCCTCCTGAAATCCTCTAGGTGTCCTTACATGATCTCGCGCGGGTCCTTGTGGGAAGATCTTGTGGGGATCCTGTTTAAATTCGTTTAAATCCTCCTCAAAAGGTCCCTGCATTAAGATCTTGAAGTTCCTCTGCGTTGGTGCTTGTATGAAAGTTCTTCAGGGATGCTCATATGAAGTTCTTGTATGAAGATCTTGTGGGCCGCTCTATATAGGTCCATATAGAAGGTCCTACTGCTGCAGTTGCGATCATGTCTAACCTCATCTGTTCCTGCTCCATAGCTAATCTTGCTTGTATCTGGTACATTGACTTCCTACCCCCCACACTGTTTGGAGTCTCTTGCCTGCATATTTTTTCCTGCTTCACGCATCAGTATCACAACAATGTTCATAAAAGCCATTTGTACCCGTCGTCCAACTTCTGACAGCCAACCCAGAGAGTCGTGTGAAACTTGTCCCCAGGTTGATAGAACCTTTGGTACATCTGGGGTGCTGGAATCCTCTGCGCGCCTGGTGGAGAGGTGCGCGTTGGACGGGGAGGTTGCTGGTGGGGAGCCTGCCGGTACGTGACAAAGAACGGCTCTGTGACATTGATGAATCGACAAGATGTTTTTGCCGGGCTTCGAAATTTTTGGAGCGGTAAACCCTTCGCGTTGTCGGTTATCCATGTGCTCCATGTTTCCCTTACGGGGCTGTGCAGGTTTTTGGAGCTGCACCGGTATTTGCCACGCTTGTCGGGGTGGAAGCCGGGCCAAGAGCAGCTCGGCCCAGATGTTTACCATGGAGAATAGATTAAGTCAAATGTTGAGTCAACTGCGAAACCAAACCGGCGACTCAACATCCCTCAGAGGACAATATTCAAGATGACTCAACAGGACTTTCGTTTCCTAAATCAAGTTCAGTCATGATTGTAGGAAGCGGCGGGGGCAAATATTGGAACATGTTTTAGCATACGGCAAAGCCTCACAAGCCCCTTCAAGTGTTTTTTGGCGGAGCATTCCCCAAAAGGTCACTTATTTTGATTTTGAATCTTTAACTTCCAGATAATTATTTATGATTTGGGAACTTTCGGGTCGTTGGCGCTGACGTGCCGTCAGGTGGGACATGTCCGCCTTGGTTCCCCTGGAAGATCACCTCGCGGCCCGCTGCCAGCCTGCGGCACGCACGGCCACCTTTGCCAGCGTTTGCTACACTAAGTGACTCAGTGTCCGGCGGTCAGCGAAAAGGAGTGTAATGTGTGGTTACCGTATATAAGCATGTCGTGTGTGGGTGTACCTTTGCCGCTTTAGATGCACTGACACTGGATGTCTGGCCGTGGAAGTGACAGTGGTCTCTTCAGATGAGGTTTACTGTTTGCTCTGCAGTTGCAGTGGGCAAAGCAACATAGCACAGCGGAATTCAGCTTCAGCCCAACAGTTTGAAATCTTTGCAAAACTGCTGACGTTCGATGTTCACATGTTTATATCATTGTATGCCATCCTCTTTGTATCTGGCAACCTGCCAACCTGTTGTGCTGTGTACGTTGCCAAATGCTTGTGCGAAGCGCCAACAGCACTGATAAGATTGTTTTTTTTTGTGATGAAGCGGGAATTGCAGGTCAGATGTTTGTTAGATCTGTGCAAGGTTCGGGGTTGGCACAGCCTTGCGAGTTCCATGCCTTGCCCGTACCGAAGCGATAAGGCTCTAGTAGCGCGTGAAACCTTGGAGTCAAACATGTTCCATGTAGCCGGTAGTCGCTAATTGTAAATAGGGCACATTAGTGACAATGGCAGCAGGCAGGTAGTAAGTACGTAGTAGGCAGGTAGTGGTTAGATAGTATGCAGCATGTAGCTGGTAGCAGGTAGCACGGAGCAGGGAGCAGGTAGCTAGTTACAAGCATACGTCCCCGCCGCGCAGGGTTTAGGGTTTAGAGTTAAGGAATACTTCCTACCTACTTCCTGCTACCGGATAACTTGCGCTTACTACCTGATACCTTGCACCAGCTAGCGTGTAGTGTCACTGCTGTGCCCCGCGCGCCGGGCACCTATGGTGTGAAACTGCCGAACTAGCTGCCTGCCAACTGCTGGCTACTTCAAGTTAGGTGCTACCTGCTACCTCCCTACTAGCTGCTTACTGCCTGTCACCTACCCATCTGCCACATACTTTCTACATACCTGCTACCTGCTACCTACTATCGACTACCTACTACCTATATACTATTTGTGCTGTGGATGTCGTGTCCCTGCTGCGTCCCGCGCGCCGGGCACATATGTTTGTAACTAGATACCTGCGCGCTGCCTTCCTGCTGCCCACCACCACCTGCATGCTACCTACTTCCTACATAGCATCGGCCTATAACTCATCCACTACCTATCTTCTACCTACTACTTACCTATTCCCTACCTGCTATCTACGTTCTTCCTACTACTATGCATGTACTACTACCTACTACCTACTATGTGTTTTTTGGATGTAGTGTCGCTGTTTAGGGTTTATGGTTTTTCTTATAGGTCCAACCTATACAAATTACATGTTCCTAAAAGAACATATAGAAACTTCGGGCTTTATTAGGATTCCGAATGAAACCATCAAGAAGCATTTGTTTGGTTTTTTTAAAAGGTGTTTGGGCTGCTCCAAGGTTCAATAGCAGCATAGACTGAACCAAAGCATTCCAAGTGCAAGCGCTCAATTATTCCAAATGAGATTCAATTGAAATGAGACGTCGCTGAAGTGAGGTGTAATTGAAGTGAGGTTGCCATTGGTGTAGTCAACGTGCTGTGATAACTGTTCTCAGGTGGTATTTGCTGCCGTTTTTCGCACCCGTATGCGTGCAGTAGTCACCCAACAAACAACAGCCCAATAGCCCAACAGCCCAACGGCAACACTGTGGAATTGCAGCTCATGGAGCTTGACATCGGCTGGTCAAGCACAGGCTGAAATACATCTGGGCCGGGCCGGTGTGGTGCCTCACTGCACCAAAAGCCGCGGCCCATCACTCCGGATTCGTTTGTGCTTTTCCTTGCTGCAGAGAATGTTTGAGACCGACGCAGTGATATACCATAGTTTCGTGATTAGTGATATACAATAGTCTCGTGATTAGATGGTCAGGGGCTAGCCCGTTCTTATTTTTTGGAAGTTCCTTCAGTCAGGTTCTCGGTTCCTGTTCTGTCCCGTCCTTTATGCCGCTGCTTCTTGCCTAGCTCTCTCTGCTAGTTCTATACCATGCTGAGATGAGCTCTGCCTTCTCACCCCTTCTCCGGCGCGACACAAGCGCGTGGAGAGTCTGAAGATCCAACAAGGAGCTAAAAGCAAGCCACAAAATAAACACTTGCTTGATCCAGTGCGCTCACCATATGTGTGGAATCAGGTATCGAAAAAGTGGTTTGACCTTTTTTCAAACCTCCAGTGGCTTGGGGCTGCGGCGCCTGGAGCACGAAGGAAAGCCTCGTTCGTTGGAGGCTAGTTTAGTTGATGTAACTGGTATAAATGATAACTGGTCTAAAAAAATATTTGGTAGAAAAGCTCGTTAATGTAAAACATGGTTTTGCCCACGATAGTTGGTGCAAGAACTAACTGATGTAACAGCTAGTTGGTGTAAAAACCAGCAGCCGGCTGATGTAAAGTTAGTTGGTGTAACAGCTAGTAGGTGCAAAAGCTAATTTGTGTGAATGACGACAAGCTACTGCAGTTGATGAAAAAGTTACATTTATCAAGGGCACGTAGTGTGAAAGCTCGTTGATGGAAGAGCTAGTTTGTGCAAAAGCTAGTTGATGTAACAGCGAGCTGGTGTAAAAGCAAATCGGTGTAAAAGATATGTGGGGGAAAAGCTCGTTGATGTAAAACTTGGTTTTGCCAAGGGTGGTAAGAGCTAGTTGATGTAATAGCTAGCTGGTATAAAAAGCTAGATGGTGTGAAAGCTAGTTGGTGCAAACGCTAATGGAGAGCTGACAGGACGGGTGGACCAACAAGCGCCAAATTCCGATGGGCTAGGTAAAGTGCTTCCCAGGATTGCTTGGAAACTTCCGCTCGCCCCTGTGCTTGAACCAATAGGTGCTATCGTCGCAGGAACTGCCCGAGCAGTCGGGTTCCAGAACTTCTAGGACTTCCGCACTGCGCTGCCAAGCGGCCCGTACCCCACATATAGCGGCTCCTCGGGGGCCACTTGCATTCGACTGCTTGCTCTCACATTTTCTTAGCGGCACTTCCAAGGCATGCTTCTTATCCTCTTGCTGTTTTCATAAATTAATATGACCTAACTTACAGGGTTTGGGGTTTCCAGTTGGGGTACCAGACCCATATTTATTGAAAACGAAACTGTATCTTCAGCAATGGGTGGTATCACTGGCGGGTTCGTAGTTGGAGGGCTTAAAATTTAGGGCTTAGTTTTGGATGTTTTTTGTTTTTTATATAATTTATAGGGTGTGGGTGGGATTTGTAGTTGGGTTATCAAACCCTTCTTTACTGAAAATGAAGTTGTATCTTTACCAATGGATGGTATCACTGGAAGAATGGGGGTTGGAGGGCGGTTTAGGGTTTAGGGTTTAGGGTTTTCATCTATAACATCTATGACATCCATGACATCTATGACATCTATGCATGAACCGCAGCCGCAACTGCTGCAAAACGCACCCACACCAGCCTCCGCCCTCCCCCGCGCCTCGGAAGCTATGGTTGGCCCGACCCAAGCCCTTGTGTACAACCTCAAGGTGCGCTTCTTCCACAACCCAGTGGAAGTCCGCCATGAACTGGCGAGACGCGGCTACACACCCCAGCGCATTAGCCAGCTCGTCAAAGATTGCGAGCAATGGCCACCTCGCGACCAGAGGCAGCGCGAAAGGCAGACCTTCCAGGACCAGCCGAACATGAAAAAAGGAAATGATACCTCAGATATCGAATTAACTAGCACGAATGAATGATACACCATCGATCGTCTTGATTCTATCACAAAATGCTGGAGCAAGTATACAGTAGCTTGATCACCGATGCCCCGATGCATCTCATCGAAAACAACGCGAATTGGACTTTATGAGGTCTAAAAAGATAGCAGTTTCGAATAAAAAAGGACATGATATAACGATCGGCCTGTCAGGATTGCGACATCTCTTAGTGTAGAAAGATCAATGGATGCAACAAAAAAATGAAACAATCGAACAAAGAATTCACACACCTACAGTAGATCCACTGCTTATGTAAAAAAATCGACATATAAGAATATATATATATACATATACACATACATCTGGATGTCTCTACGACCCCGCTACTCCAGAGCCTTTAAATTGGACCCGCCCGGAACTGACTCACATCGAAGGACGTCGTCACCGGGACGATCCTGGAACTGAAAAGGCTCCGCCGGGAGCACACCAAGCTGCTGAAGGTGGCACGCCGCTTCCGCCAAAGGCGGATCAGCGGGAGGAGGAGATGGGTCCGGAATGTGCAGCGACACATCCGAAACCTTCTCAACCAAGTGGGCTGAGGCCGGGGAATGGGACTGAAGTCCAAAAAGGGGGGGGGAAGGAAGACTCATTTACTATATATCACTTTTCGCGAAGGGCGACTTTCTATCTTCCATGCAACGATGCTTCAAATCAAACCATTAAGACTATAGGCATCGATATGCAACTTCAAGACTTGGCATTCGAAAGTTCTATTTGGCAAGACCCGTTGTACGTATTAAAAGCCCGGTCTTTACATCCCCTGGACACCCCGAAAACACTGACTGTACACCATGATATAAATCGAAGGATGTAGTGACCATTCCACTTCGCTAAAGATTGCGACGTCCCCAATTCCCATCCACGGAGCCCCCATCGCCATACAATCCCAGAGAAGGTGTGCGATATTATTCTACTACACACCGATCTACAGATGATGAAGATAGAGAGAGAGAGAGAGCGGTAAGAGAATGACAATGTGTCCTTACATGAATGCACGCATATAAACATCTTGTAATGATATCGGACGACGGATTTTTTTCCAAAAGAAAATCGATCGACCACGTCGCCCTGCCAACGCGCCACGCCGCAGGAAGAGGAGAGCGGCAAGCACAGAAGTCGCCGCACAGGCCCCCCTCCCACCGGACGAGCACAAAGCCGTCCGGTGGGAGGGGGGCGATAGGCGCAAACGGCAGGCTGAGCAGCAGCAGAGACGGCGGAAAAAAGACGATGTTCTGGCGAGTATGGGATTTACCCCACGAAGAGAAAATCGATGTTGTTCATCCCTTGCAACAAACTGTTATGATAAGAG